CAATTTTTATTCTCCCATTTTTAATTCTATCAAATACTTAGTAAACGTCAACCAATTACGAAGGTTCTCAGTTCACACCACATGGAAGTCATTTTGCCTTTTCATCGAGCAAATCTGGTATATATATGTATTTGTGTCTGTGTCGGTGCGTCGTATCTATGTGAAAGTTTCAATGTCCCATCTGAATATTGATAATTCACAACAAGCTCGTAAAGCAGCTCAGTCGGAGGAGCTGTGATCTGCTCGAGACCAGTTCGCAGCTCAAGAGTGGATGGAAGCTTACCTGCATGACACAAACAAGACGTTTGATTGGCATAATCCGAACATTACGCGTCCGCGTTACTTGAGAGAAGGTTGTGGAGTAGCTTATGTATCTATTTCGTGGGTTAGCTAATCTTTGCGTCCTCTTGACACATTCACATGATGACTTTAGTATGATCGACTTGCGGATGTCAGCTCAATTATTGACGATTTACTTCGAAATTATTGAGCGTAATGTGCAAAGCGCGCGAAGCTGTCGGTAAAGGGTATGCACAAGCACATACAGGTGCCAGCGACCCATTTATTAGTGAAAAGAGTAAGGCCAAATTAAAGCGCTTAGCATACCTGACTAGAGTCTCTCTCGCGGAGTTGTTTGCTACAATGACCCCTCACGTCGAGTAGAGAAATAAACGATAGCAATAGTAAAATGCGACCATTTCATTCTGTTTCCAAGCACATTGGTTAGAGTTTGCTAGGATTTTGCATTAGATCGTGGATTTAAATGATCCGAGATAGCCGCTAAAGGTAAGCCCTCTCGGTCAAGGAGGAACTATGTCGTCGAGCAGCCTCACCGTAATTTTACCTGAAACGGTGTTGCTGATAGTAGCACGAAAATATCCGAGTAGTTTATGCTACTCGGACGGTAAACATACACCACGATGCCGTTAATACTAAAACGTCTTTCTGGAGAACGAGATAAATTCCAAGCTAATGACTAGCACCACGTTATCAAGCTCCGTAGACTGATCAAAGCCGCCGACAAATTTGCTCATGTTTCTATTTTTTGAAATGTTTCGCACGTGCGCACAAATGTGCTTACCTCCTTATACATGTCGGGCCACGAGTCCACCGTGCTTACTGAACCGTACGTCTTATAATTCCCGAAGCGGCAACCCGATGAAGCTTTTCCTTTTCGTCCACTTCGAGAGGTCAGGTGACGATGTCGAAGTGCGCGCTGGGGCATGATTATATATTTATGACCTCAAAATGTAGCGTATCTTCTAGCTGTAACCCCCACGATACGTCTGTGTTCATTAGCGTCCGCGTTAAGCAATGTTCAGTCAATGATAAATATCAAAGCATCACAAACGACATGAAACGTCTGATCAGATCGAGATCCAGAATTTTGGCGCCCATAAGGCTAACTTTGACAGATTTGAATTCGGCCACCCCCTCAGTGCTCCCCAGCACCATATGCCACCTTATTAGAGAAACTTTGTTTGGCCGTGTCATGTCGGCATAATTTGCATAGTACCTGTGTGGAGAGCTATCATTACCAAAACTCCTTTACGCTATCGACATTTCAAATCTGCTTTACCTTGGCAATGATGTTTATTCGCAAAAATGCTGCCAATTCAAGCGCCTCAGTTTTATTTTGCCAACGCCAAGAGAGCACATGTCTGTGTCGGCGAATCAATCATGTAGGCACACACTTCTGAGCACGACTAAAAGGTCACAGTATGGATATCCGCATCCGACAAACCGAACTCGTTAACAGTATGGACAAAGATGACGCCAAAAAGGTCTGTGCATTCGAGCAATGCGGTCTCGATTAATATGTCTCCAAAACATCATGCGCTACCGAATAGGGTAGTATCACTGACCCTTATTCTCATATTTTGACCGGGTCGAAGACGAACAAATGGAAACAAAATACTGTTCTGAAGCATCACCTTGAATTTGGCTTCGTGTTGAACAATGGAACAATTCAATGTATTGTAGTCAATACCATTTCGCCACTTGTCATTACCTTTTCGGATGCAGCAGTTCCCAGCTACTCTCTAGACATTATTGTGCATTCTCTTCGGATCAAACTTGCACCTTGAGCCTTGTCTCTGAACCAATGTAAACGGCTCGACGACGTCTCACTACCGACACGCTGAAAAATCCTGTGTGGGCGCCGTTGCCTTTGCCCAGCGATAAACGGCCTTGAGCACACCGAGGGAAAAGAGCCCACTGTGCTCAGTCTTTTCGCAGTATGAGTCTCTGCTTCCTACTTCATCGACAAGAAATGTTGCGACACCTTGCTATGAAGCTTACGATGACGTCCAGATGAGGTGGATATGACTCAGAGAATTCTGCTGGCTCAACTACAAATGTGTCACGCCGACTCTTGCATTTGCCCGTCGCTGGAAGGTTCTGCATAATCTTCGCCACTTTAATCTTACATGGTCTCTGCCACAAGACATATGGATATCGTATCGGTATGTCGCATTTTCAATACTTCCGCGTATTCTCTGCTGTTTTCGACAGTGGCGCGTAGTACGTGACTGCGCAACCCTTTTGAACCTTCCATGACTTTCAATTAAAAGGACGTTATGCAGACCCATCCTGCATGCTCAAGACCATAGTGTACTGACAAGTGCCTCTTTTCAAAAAGGACTTGAGGATGTGGTTTGACTGACTACTTGCTGGGGTACATTGCAGACAAAACTAACATGATACGACTGCTCACCAAACTTCATAAAGAAAATGTTAAATTGTGGTGGCGTGCGGCAAAAATATGGCAACCTTCGTACATTACCCTGTTCTAGAATTCTCAAATTCAGATCGATCATTCCACGTCGTCTGCGACGCTTCAGCGTTTGCGATAAGCTACGCTTTACCCCGAGCAGTTGTCAATGGACACGAGTGCCTATCGCGGTTCCTGTTCACGCCAAGGAGTGGTTTTTCACTTAAGCACAACCTTGTCCATTGCCGGTAGCACATGCATAGCTCGATATTCATACAAATCATCCGATGTTACCCGCAGCGATGTTGTCACCACATTGTTTTCGATGCTGGCAAGACTGTTATACGTCTTTGCTAAGTTTACTTCCGAAGCCAGGTAAGAGCCGGGCTGAACTTATATGGCGGCGGGTGTGCTTACACGTCGCTTCAACAATAAATTGCTCCCACATCACTATGTCGACGTGGCTAATTGACAGGGTGATACGCAGAGCGAACGAATCAGACGCATCGTGTACTGCACAGCTGTAAGCATTAGAAAACGAGTAGTTTTTCGAACTCAGGTGTTGTTTATTCGTAGCGCGCGAACAACGTCTGCAGTGCTATGCTTTACCCTAGGGCTCTTTGTAATACATCTATGGTTTCGAAAGGAGGACTTTTGAAAGTCTTAGACCGGGACAGGCATCACTCCATGCAACTCGATCTTTACGGCCAGCACCTTACATTCGCAAAGCAGGAAGACTGAAGAGACGGATTATCAGATTACAAGGAAACTCGGATGGAATTTTTCGAAATCATACTTTCTTCTTTTTCTCTTTTCTTTTCTTTTCTTTTCAATTTGTTTCTCTTCCTTCCTCTTATTTTTTTCTCTCATCTTCTCCCAAGAAAAATGTTGACGGCTGAGCTGCATGAACAAGCCAACAAATATGTCATAATGATCAAGTACTGTATGACGAGTCCTCGCATTTATATTGCAACAGGACTGCCCAACGCTTTGCACAGAGGTTTATTGGAATCAAAGTGTTCGAACGTAGGCTTGTGTGCTCCTACCTGGAGCTAACATGAGGGTCATTATCGTACCGAGTTGCCGAGGTATGCTCAGCTATTTCAAATGATCCTTTGCAACAGGATTGCCGTGCATTTTACACAATGGTAGCTTTGTCGTGGAGATTTGGCGCTATAAACGCAGAGATGGTGCTATGTGCTCTCTTATCAGTAACAAAACCGAGAGCCCCAAAAGTAAGATTTCAGATTGCTCTTCTATGTCAAGAGTGAGATTATATTAGAAGCAAAATGAACTAGAGAAGGTCGGTCCACAAGCGCTTCTAACAATTTAGCCGCCAATGCCGCATAGCCCTTACCAAGCAGTATCCTTTTTTCTTCCGAGATAAATTCGGAAAGTATTCTCTACTTGAGATATGCACCATGATTGTGGTGGGGTGTTGTGTAATTTAGTTGCAAATTCGTTCTACACTGCTGTATGTTTAGCTTCGGTATTCATGTTGTGGTAAGTAATTTATAGATTGAGACTGGCATTTGGGCACCTTAAAATGACTTTTTGCGCAAATTTTCACCTATTGTAATTTTCCCTAATTATCTTAATTGGATCAACGGCTCCTTGGCAATGCGAGTATCTTTAATGCCTTTGTTCGCGCTATTGAATTCGAAAAGTGCAGCAGATGTCGAGCCACTCCGCGTGTCGTTATCCAGACGTATACCGTCTATCACCGCCTTACCCAGTAAAGCTGTCACAAACCATGTTAGTCTCAATACAACACTTGCAGCATTTAAACTTGTCACCCAAGATGCCGCACAACCTCCGCTGCCCCGTGGAAAGCGTGTTCGAATGCAAAACTTTGGTAATGTCCAGTATATCGGTTCTGTGGGCTTTGGTAATCCACCACAATATCTGGACGTGGTGTTCGACACTGGATCAAGCGATACGTGGATTCCCGGCACTAACTGCGACAGTTGTGGTTCACATCACCAATTTAACTCACAACAATCTACAACGTTCTTGAACACGGCAAAGAAATTCTATGATGTTGTCAGTATCAGTGTTAAACACTTGCTGCAGTAATTTGAATGACAACCTGACGGATTGTGTGTAATTTATTGTCACAGTATGGAAGTGGGTCAGTAACGGGCACCGTAGTGTTAGATACTGTGACTATCTCGGAGCTCACAGTAACAAATGCACGATTTGGAGTGATTGAACATGAAAGCGACAGACTTCAGGGGTTTCTAGCTGATGGGATTTTTGGACTAGGATTCGAGGGTCTCGCACACATCAGTCGTCCCACAGTCTTTGCGGCACTTGCAGGTCAGAATGCAAGTCTCGAATATATGTTTGCCTTTTATCTCACGCCTGAAGCTTATCATATCGGTAGTGAGTTGCATATTGGGGGGTACGACTTGTCTGTTGTTGGGCCAAATGCATCTTTTCATTACACTCCTGTCGTCAAACTACCTGAATTTGATTCGTTCATGTATTGGACTATCAAAATGAACAGCTTCAAGGTTATAATATCGAATGGTAATGTCATACACCACAAAGGTAACACTAATGACGGAAGAACAGAAACAGATATAACCACGAATCTCTGCCAGCCGTTTTGTTATGCTATTGTGGATACAGGAACGTCTTTGATCAGTATTCCAGCCACACAATTTGATCAAATAGTGAAAAAAATTACACATGGACTCAATTGTGACGGCATTGACTGCGTTGGTGTGGGTGCCGCAAATTTTCCTGTCCTCGAATTTGGCATGGAGCCGGATAATATCTTCTTACTCCAACCAGAAGATTATGTATTTTGTTCAGACTGGGGGGAGTGCACATTGCAAATTCAATCTACTACAGACGAATGGTGGATCCTGGGTGATGTCTTTATCAAAACATACTATACGTTATTTGATGCCGAGCGTATGCGCATTGGCTTTGCTTGCAATGGTGATGTATGCCAAGGTGGACGTGGCAACATCTATGGTGACAATGGTGAAGGTAGTGCATTTGTTGCATGGGAACATGCTTTTCTGTTAAGCTCGTGCTTTGCTGCCGCGTGCATGTTCCTGTTCGTGTTCTTGCTTAATCAGCAAGGCGAGGAGTCTCAGGACATTGACCTACGGTACCCACCACAGATTTTCCATTTGCATGATCCAAAGCGACCACTACTTTATGATGAAGGAGAATCACAACGTTACTACGCTAGTTCTCCATCCTCTATCACGGCGGTAGTGAGGTAAAAAGAAAAAGCAATCAAGTGTTGAAGTTTCGAATTACATGGAGAAGTAGAAGCGTGATGCTATTAGATAGACCCAGCCCTATAGAATATTTCTATTTCTACTGGTAATGCAATTTCTTGAGATCAAGCTGCCCCTACCCCGAGCAGATCACACTTCCTTTTTATTTTGTAGAAACTTGAATTTGTGACTCAATGGGCCGTTCCGAAATTACAGCAGACAACGACACAAAATATCTGCATTTTTAAGGATAATAGTATCCTCATAAAAGTGTAACTGATTTAGGGTTCCTGGGCTGCAGGCACAATTTATATACATAGAACTCGATATCGACCATTTGTTATTCCCGCGTTGGGTCATGGATATGGACTGTCAACTGATGTGTCGATTGTATGGTGCAATGATGCACGTAATGTAGCGTGGTACGAAAGTCCAATGCAAATCGCAGTAGTTGGGAACGTGAAATTGGTAGAAACACGATGAGTATGACAGATAATTCGGAGCGCGAAAACCAATGGTTCATTGCTGTAACAGCGGGAATGTAAGTGCAAGTTCCAGGCTTATGTACGGACAATCCAATCTGCGTCATTTTATGCACATCGAGTGATGCAGCTGGATTACGCAATCCACCCCTGTCTCTCCCAGTAATTTCTTCGCTCCAAATTAAATAAGATCCCACTCTGCTGATTTAGGTCAAGATAATATTCTTGCGACGACGAATAAAAAATGCTGTCATCAATTAATATATTTGACTCCAACCACAATGTCACTGATTTTGTTGACACTATATCCTCCAGATAGCCCATTTATTCTGGACCATAGAAGGCCTAGTTTTTACACCAATACACAGTCATGTTTCAGCAATTGCCCTATCCCTCACTACTTCCCAGTGCGCTCGCACTTTCCGCGCTCAAACAGCAAAAGCAGGGAGAAGAGTAAGAGACGCCTTGAATCTCTCGGTTTGGCGGCCATCACCCGTACGCGTAGTAGCTCAAGCGAGCTTCATATCTTAGGCCCTGACATTATATGAGACCAAAATTAATGAGTTCCCCGTATAAACTAATTCTACCGCTCGTGGTAGTGGCGGCGCAGGTTCATGAAGCTGAAGCCGCCAACGGGTCTCTCCCGACATGGCTCGCTTACGTGACAGGCGGTCTTTTGATCATTATTATCGTATACTATTGTTGTCGTCGTGCGCGGTTTGATGAAAACTTACAACAACCACTGTTAGGAGGTCAATACACGGAGGATGGACAGCCTATGACACGCCAGGACGTCCAGGAGTCAAACGATGAAGTGTCTACTCAGTGGCAGTGTGAAGTCTGCGATTTTCATAATAAGAGCTCTGCTAAAAGTTGTGTTCTCTGTGGTACTGAAAGGGGCTTTAGTCTCGGACTAAATTCACCCGTGCGACCAGCAGGTACTGGTCCAGTGGCTGTCGGAACAGACATTACTCGGGATAAGAGTTTCAATCGTACGCGTTCATTTGCGATTCGTCGTCTCAATATGCTTAATTCACGTCAACGAGGTGCCAGGAATCGTCAAGATTGGGTGCGAAAAGTTGGTCTGGATGGAAAACGCTATTGGGCTAAGCGTGAACTACCTTTTCCACTTGGAAACGCCACGATGAAAAAGACTGAAAACTCGTTAAATGATAAAATTCGTATTGACATTCCATCATCAGACGCTGACATGCTTTCACCTAAGGGCTCTACATCTGAGACTGCTGCTTCTTCGACGTCAACCACCTTGACGTTGGATCCAGACAAGGAACTGGTACATCAACAGTCGCTGGCATTCGTATCACAGTTAGCACAGACACCTCGACATCCAGAGGGTCGAATGACGTTTAAAGAGTATCGTGAAGTAGATGCGCGTGTTGCGTCTCGTGGCTATGAAATCTCTGAACAGGATTTGGAGATTCTTGAACAGGTGGCGGCATTACCATTTAAAGACAAGTATGCGTGGTTTCTCGAGCAAACTTCAGCGTTGATTAAACCATGGGAAGACGGACACTTGAAGATGCGTGTTCATCGTGAAAACATTCTGGTCGAGTCGATGGAGCAACTTTTGGGAGTTCAAATGGAACACATTCATATGCCACTACGTATCGAATTTATCGGCGAAGTTGCGATTGATGCTGGTGGCTTGGAACGGGAGTGGTTCTCGCTTGTGACCGAGCGTCTGTTTGATGAAACTATTGGACTCTTTATGTGTGCTCACGTAGACTCGCTCGCTTACGTGATCAATCCAAATTCTGTAGAAGCTTCTGCTGACCACTTGCTGTATTTCCGAGGAGCCGGTCGCTTGTTGGGTCGTGCATTGCTTGAAGGACAATTGATGAAAGCCCACTTGGCGTTGCCAGTATTGAAACATCTGCTAGGTGTCCCAATATCATTTAGTGACCTGGAATTCTTTGATCAGGAAGTGTACAACTCGTTAAAGTGGATGAAGGAAAACGATGGTGTGGATGCGCTGGGACTGGATTTTACCGTTACAAATCGCAAATTGAATGGTGAAGTGGAGACGATTGAGCTTAAGGAAGGTGGAAAGGACATTGAGCTGACAGATGAGAACAAGCGGGAATATATCTATCTGCGTCTCCGCTACATCATGCTGGATTCGTATGCTGAGCAGCTGCAGCATCTTATGGCTGGAGTATTCGAAGTGATTCCACAGGAACTGATACTTGTCTTTGACTACCAGGAACTTGAGCTTGTGCTCTGTGGTGTGCCGTCGATCGACGTGGATGACTGGAAGGCACATACGCAAGTGTCAGACGAACTTCCTGAAGAGCTGTTGTCGTGGTTTTGGGAGATTGTTGAGTCGTTCACAGACGAGGAACGTGCACGTTTGTTGCAATTTACAACAGGCTCGTCGCGTGTGCCGGTTCAAGGCTTTAAGGCGCTTACAAGTTACGACGGACGGATATGCCACTTTACACTTAAAGCTGTGACTTTTCCGGAAAATGCGTATCCTCGGGCACACACGTGTTTCAATCGCATTGACTTGCCACTTTACAAGACAAAAAAGGAGCTGGAAGATGTGCTGTCACTGGTTATTAATATGGAAGTCACGGGCTTTACGGACGAATAAATTGGTATTTTTGTACAGTTGAAGGCTTTTAAACCATTTGTGGCGTCCAATCATGCTAACGTCGGCGTTGAGCTAGCACATGAGCGAGGCAAAGCTATTTGGTGAGCAGTATTGAAAGTATCGGGAACCTTTAACGGGATATGAATAAAGAAAAAATAAAAGAAAAAAATGTTGATGCTTCATCGAGATCTTAAGTAAACAGCGGTATTATTTTGTATGCTTTTTATCGATGTGTCTTAGCACTACAGATCCAGATCCTCAACGACTGTTGAAGACGATTGCCTATCTCCTGTAATTTCAAGTTTGGATGGGTCAAAGCTTGCAGTCTGTAGCTGCTGTTGTTGCAATGCGAAAGCTGCTGCAGTCTCGTGTGTGCCAACATGGACGACTACCCATACCGGATCGCCAAAGAATCCGCTAGAGCAGTGTAGTCTCCAGCTACCAGCATATGACCCTGGCTCTGATGGCATGCACAAAGACGCATGGATATCTATTCGCTGACCTGCCGATGCTGCCACAGCAATCTGTTCTGGCCCTTGTAAGCTTGTACCTTGCGCAAACATGAGACACGTATCTTTGGGCCACGGTTCCCTACCTGTATTTACATAACTCCATTGCTAACAAAGACATCAGCGTCAGTATTGAGCAAATTTGTACAAATCATCAGATTTCTCACCATGTGTATTGGTGTGTTGGGAGCGAACAGTGTGTTCTGCGAGGCCGATAAGTCACTAAGGAATTGCGCCTGGTACAATGCCGTGTTAGGTTGTTGAAGCTGCAGGTGGCTTGGCTGTCTAGATTCGGACTTTTCATCCTCCATGTCCAGAGTATCAGCTGAGTCTATTCCTTCCATTGGACTAATACCATTGCCGCCTGCAGTCTCCATTGTCGCCAAATAATTGTTGACTGCTGTCTCAACGTTCCAATTGCACGATTCGAGAAAGAAAATTGCTGTTTGTACATCCAGCTGCAGCAAATGTGCAAACTGATCCACCAGCTCATCATGATCACTTGTGGTAATACTTTGAAACATTTGTAGGAGGTCGTCAGCCATTGTTGCAGCCGGCAAAGTCTAATTGAGTGACTTAAGCAGTTAAGTTGAAGGAATATGAGGGAAACGAGGTCTTGAAGAAGTACATACCAGTAAGGGAGGAGTAGAGGGATAGATTCAAGTTTGATCAAACTGCCACTACTGGCGTCGTACGCACACGAATTTATTTGAGACTTCAAACTAACTTTGAAGTTTCAGAGATTCGGAGGTCGTACGAAGGTGCGATTGTGTAATTTACATCAATCCAAATCTTTAACATGAAGTTATCAAAAAGATCGGCAATGGAATGGCCACGTATCAGTCAGCGTGACATGGCCGTTCCCATTGCACAACACGCCAAATCTAGATCAAGTTGTCGTTACTTCATTTGATGTCATTGCTTCGTCGTAATTTGATTGGTACTCGGTACAAAGCCTTGACCTCACGTGGATTTTCAACGACCACCAACACGCCTATCATTAATTCACACAATGAATGGGACCCACTTGAAGAAGTGATCGTTGGCCGCATTGAGGGTGCAACAATCCCAGAATGGCATGTGTCTGGCAAAGCTGTATGGCCCCAAAAGTATTGGGACATGTACAAGACCAAAGCCGGTCAATCTTTTCCAACGGAGCTTATGAAAGGAGCTGCAAAAGAGCTTGATTATCTAGCTGAAGTACTCGAGGGTGAGGGCATTATCGTTCGTCGTCCTGAGGCGAGTGATAACGACTTTAACATGGAAGTAAAGACGCCTGATTTCACGAGTCGCTCGCAGCTTTATGCAGCCATGCCCCGCGACGTGCTCATTGTCGTTGGCAATGAAATCATTGAGGCTCCTATGGCTTGGCGTTCACGATACTTTGAATTCCGTCCGTACCGCAAACTCATTAAGGAATATTTTCAACAAGGCGGTAAATGGACAGCTGCACCTAAACCTCAGATGAGTGATGATTTATACAATGACGATTGGAAAGCTGAGAGTGGTGTCTTCAATTCGGTCGTGACAGAATTCGAGCCAACATTTGACGCTGCTGAGTTTACGCGCATGGGCCGCGATATCTTCACGCAACAGAGTCAAGTCACCAACATGTTTGGGATTGAGTGGGTACGTCGTCACTTAGGAGACGATTACAGAGTCCATGTGCTAGATTTTCAAGATCGCAACGCTATGCACATTGATGGAACGTTTGTTCCGTTGATGCCTGGCAAGCTCTTGGCAAATCCATTCCGTCCATGTATTACTGGAAGACCCGTGAAAACTTATTCGTACAAGAATAAGGATTACCAATACCATCTGCCAGAAATGTTTAAAGGGTGGGAAGTGTTTGTAGCTCCCGAACCAGAACTGTCTTCAGATCATCCGCTTTACTTTACTAGTCCGTGGACTGCAACGTGCAATGTGTTAGTGGTACGACCGGGCACTGTCATCGTGGAGGCTCATGAGAAAAAAGCCCAGCAGTGCTTTAAGGATTGGGGATTTCAAGTCATTCCTGTGCCATTCCGCAACTTCATGCCCTTTGGTGGATCATTTCATTGTGCTACTTGTGATGTACGTCGCACTGGTACGTTGCAATCCTACTTTGACTAAGGACGTGAGAAATGAGGAAAAAATGACCAATTTCTTAGAAGTTTTCTAAAAAATATACCTTGCTTTTCAGCTCTTATGATTATAAGGGATGAGAATAGATGAATTGAGTCTGCATCGTTGTTTTGCCTTATAGGCGTTGACAAGATGATGGATTGTCGTGTGACTCATGTCTGTTAGCTTGTGTGTTATATCAAGACGAGAACCTTTGATTGTGTTGTGAAACTTTCCAATGATAGTATGGTCTTCCCACTTGTTTACGAATACACGTCGCCTCCTAAAGGGTATTGAATATTCCCAGCTTTGTTTTAGCTATAAGAACTTTGATGATCTGCCCTCCTCCTGGTAACTTCTATGAAAAATGAATGAGCAATCATGGCTTGATATTCTTGGCCTCACAAGAACGTGTTAACTCTTACAACTTAGTTTTATGCATATATGCACAAAACAAAAAGATTTTCCAGGCTGCGAAAATATATTCCACGATGCCCTATGCTCTCTAACCACAATCAGTCTGTTTATATGAAGAAAATTACACTGCATCTGTTCCACATCCTTTGATCAAACAAAATCCAAAGCGTATCCTTAGCTTCAACAATCTTTTTGTCGATAAAAGTTTAAAAATCTAGAAACATTTAATGATTCTGATGACGATAGAGTATACAAACGCAGCACGCATCCAAATCAATTCTATAACTCCATGATATGCTTCAAGTAGTTACAAGAAAAACATACCCGTCTCCTGATGATTGCGAGGAGATTTTGATAAAAAACGTAAGCGATCATATTGATTACGTGGGTTTTCGACTATCAATTATCACAGAGATTACTCAACATCGCCGATGTTACATCGGCAATGACGTGACTTCCAATAATGGGTCATGGCAAAATTGTATATTTACTGAGAGACAATTCGATGGTGACTTGATGATGAAGAGTATCTACATCTGTACGTGTAGCTTTGACTTCGCTCTCGAGAAGATCACAATGCTTTTGTAAGATGTATTATTTTGAAGCCACAGATAATATAAATATATGAATTTCGTGATGAATTTCAGCTTATCAACATGCCATAAGATTTTTGACGATGAATGCCAATGATGAGCAATCTCCATTCGAAGGTCCATACGATGGCATCTCAATAGTCGAAGATGAAAGGATATCGCATTGATGTAAACACTAGTAGTAAAAGATCTTTAAGAAAACTGCATCACGATGGGCCATTTGCGAGGCGATAAATACTTACTTGGAGCGCTTGTCCAAATATATATAAAAAATCTTTTTTCGATTCATCATCAAGTCGTTTCTTCGCAGTGGGTCACTATGACGAAGAAACGCAAGGATGTAGGTCTTGTGATTTATTTGTTTGATGTGATTTGGCTTTGATCAAGCACCTAATAATGTAGAATCGTTACGTTTACATTACTGAGCGTACAAAGGTAATGTACATCGTGCGAAAAGACGACGTCGCTCGGTGTGTCTGACTTCCCATTCATGCTTTTTATGCCAAGTATCTCCATCACACCATTCCTCCAATCGACACCGTGGTCGAAGAAGATAAAATACGTAAGAATCTTATATTAGCGAAAGAGGCTGGCAACTGGAAGCTAGAGGCCCAGGCGTTGATGCAGCTCGGTCAGATATTGAAGTGGCGAGGTCAAGAAGAACAGGGCAAAGCATACCAGATCCAAGCTTCTTCAGTTTTACGGGCACACACGTTCGCAGCAGACAATGAATACAACTAATTAATTGCGTCAAAAGCATATTTTTATTCGTGTCAACTTTTTGGTGCTTTGACTCGCTCAAAGTTTTGATGCTTACATAATGAGCTCAATGCATCATGGCTAGCTACAATACACTACATCTTCTACAACTCTTGCTGAAACTGTTGACACGTAAACATCTGCGTTGGAAATTTTGCCATAACCACCGACACGATCAAGAAGAATCACGAGCATTTTGATAACAATGTGGATTTAGTGCAATTTTCATACTAACCAATTGCTCATACTTTATCAGATCTGACCATCTGAGTCAAAGTTTTTAATCCTCAAAACTAGCACATCGCTCTTTGCCATGGACTTCCAGAACCGTGTTGGGTCCAAGCCTGGGTCAGGCGGCGTAGCTTCCGAGTCGCAAAGTAATGTTGACCGCCGTGAGCGACTGCGAAAGCTTGCACTTGAGACCGTGGATTTGGCTAAAGATCCTTACTTTATGAAAAATCACTTGGGCACGTACGAATGTAAACTCTGTCTTACGTTACACAATAATGAGGGCAACTACCTTGCGCACACTCAGGGTAAACGCCACCAGACAAACTTGGCTCGGCGTGCAGCTAAAGAAGCAGCGGATGCGGCTCATTCAATTGCTACTGCTAATCTCCAAGCAGCACAAGCAGCAGCTGCCGCGGCAGCCGCGAGGCCGAGAGCTCTTAAGATTGGATTACCAGGTTATAAAGTAACCAAGCAACGAGACCCTGATTCGAGCGCTAGGATTCTTTTGTTTCAGATTGCGTACCCGGAAATTGCAGACAAATTACAACCACGTCATCGATTCATGTCTGCCTTTGAACAGAAGGTCGAGGTGCCAGATAAAAACTGGCAGTATCTGCTCTTTGCATGCGAACCGTACGAAACTGTGGCATTCAAGATTCCTAACGTTGACATTGATAAGAGCGAAGGCAAATTTTTTAGCAATTGGGATAAGGACGGGAAAACCTTTACGCTTCAATTGACATTTGCTGTCGGTGATGCCGTTAAGAAGCAACCAGCACCACCTCCTCCTCGTCCACAATTGCGGTATTTGTAGAAAAGTTTTACTTATTTGATGATCAAAGAATAAATTTCTACAAGATACAATGACATTGCGTCTAGGTTGTATTATCAACAGTGCTGATGATGCTTTAACTACCCTTGCATTTGAAATTGAATAGCACAGATCCTTACATTTACATTGCAGGAAACTCGAGCAGGAATTCTTTGCTGATCTCAGCAAGTTCATCCACAACCTCTACAAGACCACGGTAAAAACCTGTCTCATAGTAGCGTAATCCATACTCCTTGCAAAGCGATTTGACCAATGGGTTCACCTTCTGCAAACTGTGGCGGGGTAACAAGGGAAATAAGTGATGCTCAATCTGATAGTTAAGACCGCCACAGAACCAATCGATGAAGAATCCAGGCGTAATGTTTCGTGTAGTACTGACTTGTAGCTCCCAAAAGTGAGGTTTCTCTTCACGTTCATATACCGACATACCATTGTGACCAACACTGAAGACAGCAGCCAAGAATGCACCACATGACATTTGTGCAATCATGAAAAATGCTAAGCCTTGAGCCAGAGACATGCCTGTAACGATTGGAAGCAACAAATTCCATGCGTAGTGTACAATCAGACCAACTTTCTCGCCGTTTGGAAGATCCAAGGGATCGTACTGGCTAAAGGCAAAGTTATGAAACACATAGTAGTAACTTTGCAATAGCCAGCTAAACCGGGCAAACAGCAGTAGTGGGAAGTAAATGATGGCTTGGTAGCGCACAAAGAATGGTCCCCAACTCGATTCGTAAGCACGAGAAGCCATGTGTTTGCTCCAAGCCAAAAGAGGCATAGTATCGATATCTGGATCACCAAAATACTTGGTCTTAGAATTTCCAACTAGATTTGGCAAAGCATGATGAAAATTATGTTTGTTCTTCCACCATTGCACACTAAAACCCATCCAGATATCACCAATGATGACACCCATGATGTTACCAAAAAGGTGATTCTCCCAAATTTGATGATGCAATACATCATGCGCAAGCCAGCCCGACTGCTGCCAAAAGAGACCCATAATACAAGCTGCAAGCATATACATAGGCCATGTATCAAAGTGCCAGCAGATCGCTACAGAGGCCATCCAAATACTGAGTGTGCTGAGGAATTTCCATACGTAAAAAACCATATTCGCGTCATAAAGCCCCAATCCTTTGATTTGAACACGCAGACGGCGGTAGGCACTAATAAACTCGTCAGTCTTGGCTTTCTTAGCCTTTTGAGCCTCAGTTAGGCTTTTGTCATCTGATCTCGTGCTCTCATCGACATCACCAATGTAGAATTGGTCGAGAAGCTTCCAAGAGCTCGTTGGATGATAGACCGAGAAGATATCTGTGGCATCTTCACCCGCATGTGAGAGCATCACCATACCACCAGGGTGTGAATCCCACTTGCTAATGTCATAGACCTTGTGATGAATAACAAGCCACGCATTGTCGTATGTTGAATGGTGCTGAACTTCTTGCCACGTAATCTTTCGCTTGGGTTTCTGACCATCCACCATTGTTGAATGATACTACGAAGTTAAAGTAATACACGTGGTGCCGAACTAGAAAGTCGAGAACTGAAGCTAAAGGTGTGGCGGAGGAGAGACCACCATAGTGAGACCATGTTATGTGTGACTGTATCAGTGGCGACGGCAGATCCGTTTTGATCACAACATAGTCAGGCCGAGGATTGAGGTCTGTATGATTTTTATACCAATCAAGCAAGTTTCGATTGTGACGTCATATACTGCAGGAGATGATGTAGGTTGAGAGATGAAAATTAATATAAATTTGTATTGGAGCACAAAGTTGCGAAGTGATACAGACTTTTGTTAGCTCGAAAGCTTGGATTAAGCATATCATTTGACACATAGTTAGTACAAAGAATGATACAGAAGACAACACTATAAGATATTGCAGTGAAGGACATTTGCTGCAAATTTAATACGGTGGCTGAAAATATTAATAGGCGCATTGAGCTCGATATTGATTTACTACAAACACACCACAAATTTGACTCTAATTAGTCGAGCCAAAATACCGCTACTTTTTAATCGAAACTGATTAGGACCTCAACTTTCTTTGACAGAGCCAGTGAAATTAAATGGTGTATTTCACACTTGTTTGATGTAATTTTAATTGCAAATTCCAGACTTATTAATATAATATACTAACAATTACAGTTTAAGCCTCGTTTTAACCAACGTACTGACTCCATAAATTGCATACTCCTAGGCTGTCTATTTATTGTTTTCTTTTTAGCTTACTTGCTGGCTGTATACATAGATACACGACGGCGATGACTACGTGGCTTACGGCTGTGACGAAGCTGACGGGGGACGAAATTGTTCTTGTGGCGCAGGTGCAGACGAGGAGGGTACGTTTGATGATATTGGGGTAGCCAGTGATGCTGGCATTGGAATGGGTGTTTCTGTATCAATGAGCATATCTGACGAACTTAGCAAGCTAGTGTCAGCGGTTAGCACCGATAAAACGGCACTATTACTTGAGGATGCTGGTGGTTGCACATTTGTATTGTGAATGGCATTTGTATTGCTCAGTAGACGCGCAATCATGGCCACTTTTTGGGACTCGGAGCAGTCTGTGCGATTAAGAATCGATTGAATTTTATTCTTGATCTCAGGCATGCGATCAAGTACATGTAAAAGTGTTGAGGTCGTCACTGGTACGGGAGCTCGCGGTAAATCATTACTACGAGTTCCTGGTGCACCATTGAAATCAATTGAAGCACCAGAATTTAATCCATTTGCTTGCCCGACATTTCCGCCCCATGTTGCTGTGGTCGCGAGCGATGGCGAAGCTC